CAATGGGGTTGCATCGAGTCAACGCTAAAATATATTTTTCTCCCTTTTAGAAAGTAACACTTTATTTAAACTTTGCTCAGTTGTTGTCTTTGTTACAAGTTAAATCTAGGCATAAAGTGTGCAGTTTTCTTACCGAACACCTTTTGGTTTTTTCCTTGAAAACTTTATATTTTGCAATATTTTTAATTCTGGGAGTTCAGAAAAATCGAAATAATTTTCTTGCTTTAAAAAACTGTTGCTTTTTTCTAACTTTGCTCGTTTGTTGCGTGAAATATTGTAAACAACTCATTTTTCGCGGGTTCAATATTTCGGAATTTACGTCAAAACTGAAGTTTTTGCATAAATCGCCTGTTCTAATTTTCGCGACGCGGTGGGATCTCAATATAGATTCCAATGCGTTTACATTTTACCGGAATTGTTCGCGGGACCTATTTTTCGCGAACTATGAGCAAGTCCAAAAATTCGCGAAAATTAGGTCCTCGCTGAAAATAAGCGTTTACAGTATATACTATCTAAATCCGTTGAGTATATATATACATATATATACTACATTTTAGGTCAAACATCTTTATGAGTTTTATTTTTTTAACTGAGAATTTTGTGATAAGTTTAATATTATATTTATTTCAGGAAACAGAGTAGCAAATCTTTTAGCAAAATATTCTTTTTAATTTACGTCGTGTCTCTTACTGCGAACACACAAATGTTTTAAGCCTTCATTTGGTCGCGTGTCTTTTTATTTCAAAATAAAAGGTGAATATATATTTCTCGTGGCATTTTTAACGCATCTGAACAATTAAAACACAAAAAACACGGAAGAAAAGGTATTTTACAATTAAGAGGATTGCGTTTACCAACTAAAAGGTTTTATTCAGTTTCGTTTTAAACCTTCCTGAAAAAGAAAAAAAAATCACTTTTTTTACCCCTTGGAGTCCGTTTTGCGCAAAATTCATATGATCGTAAACAAAACAAAACAACAAAAAAAAATGTTATAGCAAAAATATATTGGAAAGAGTACTTTTACATCACCACTAACGCATACAACCTTTTTTTTCCTTTTTTTTATTTTACAGCGAGTTTGAGTAGGTGGAATTTAAGCCTGGATTGTTTGGCGTGGAATGACCCGCGAGTGATATTGCTCCCTGTTTTGTTTTAGCGCCCCGCGACGAGCGGTACAAGAGAAACGCATATAAATAAATGCGTCACCGGATATGCGGAGCGCGAGTTCGTCTGCTCATTTGCAGCGGAAAGACACCGGGGTCTGATTGGCTTTGACTGTAAGGATAGTAGGAAGACCTGGAGGGAGCTGGCAACACCCACTGTTTTAATCGGAGCCAATCGGAGCTCGGCGCGTTTCTCACGTCACCGCAACTATGGTGCCTGGATCGCGTCTTTGACTGGTGTGTTTACCGCGGCCAAAAAAGTGGTCCCTCGATTTCCGCCTGATGACGTCATAGAAGTGTCATGCTGTCGCCGGTCGCGACCCTGGTGGCGTCCCAACAGTTATGGTGTATGTAGCAGGTGCCTGTTCTGCTTCAGGTCGCTTTCCACTGTGACAGTTCACGGAAGCTACCGCAACCGGAAGTTGGGACGCCTAACGGGACGCCGTGATGACAGCGACACTCGCGTTCGCTCGTGCTTTTCGCCAGCATTTCTACGGCCAACCGCCAGGATCGCGACAGGCAACAGCATGACACTCGCGTCATTTGTTGCCACATCGGGACCACTTTTGATGTATGGGCGGAATAGGACGCTAAACACACCAGTCGAAGACGCGCTCCAGGCACCATACCGCAACCCCCGCAAACGAAGCAGACGAACTTGCGCCCCGCATACACCTAACTCAACTCCCTGGCGTCGCGCCACCGGCCAGTGGTGCTGCTGTCGGCACTGCGCACGCGCCGATACGCAGCTGGGCGTGGCCTATTAGTGCTATCACCCGCTCCTTGCTTCGCGATTGGGTCTTCGACGTTCGTACCGGCAAACGCCGCAGTCTTATTGGCCGCGATCCGTCAATTAGATGCTCGGTAATCAACACATCGTTTCCCGAGCTGTCAGCAAGAAGGAGAATCAAAAAAAAAAAAAAAAGGGTGTCGATTAAAATTTTTGTTCAGATTACTAGGCAACTTGTAATTGATTATTCGAACGATTAATCGGTTTTGTGTATTACGCATTTCCATGCATATTATCCAATAAAAGTTACAAAAATTGTGTTCGGACTTTGTTAAAAGTGTGACAAACGGCGCGATATTCATATTTTTTTTTCATCTCGAATCAACCACTTCGATGTGTGGTTGAGAACAGTCCAAGGACGCTCACACGCGCAGATTATTACTCTACCTGCATGAGGCAAACAGGATCGCGAATACTCCCCGGCAAGTGCGCCCCTCCCTCGATGGTTTACAACAATCTCTGCAGCGCTAAACGGACGCGCGAACGGCGTTGAATTGGCCGGAACACGTGTAAACTTCTGCAATTGTCTCTGGAGTTACAAGTCTCGTCCCTACGGTCTACTTTAGGCTGAAGTTTCGCCTAAAGTTTGCCCCTTCGTGCAGGTATACCCGTGTACGTCTGCGTAGTGAAGGCCTTGAATTTTAACCGGGTTCAGTTCTCCAAAAGTTTACCCATTAACCGCTTAAAAAAATTGATCGATTCAACGACAGGTTAATTTATCCATTCTCCGCCCTAATCATTTTAAGTCCGCGTGCTTATTTTTTTATTTTTTGCAATTAAACCCAAGAATCATCGAGCGAGGAAGATTTATACGATCCTGATCACGATCCCAGAGAACTGCTGTCTTGAGCGAATCGGTGCGTTTGAGCTCAATTTCTACATTCAATTCCATCATCACCTTATGGAAACAAATTCAATAGGAAAAAAATCACACAGCCAAGACACTGTAATGTCCAATTGCAGACAAGTCACAACACAAAAAAAAGCTTTTTAAGGAACTAAAAAATTATCAAGCTATTTCTGTTCTAGTATGGCGGTTATTACACCAGTAAAAAGTTAATTAAACTGTACTTGATATTTAGAGTAATTCTTTTCCCCCGCATTGTTATCAGTGATTGGGTAAATTAGTGAATCAATCTGTCATCTTGAAATATATATTAATGATGATGAATCTCTATTTATTTTTGTGTACAGCGATTGAAATCATTGTAATCTCATTTTAATCAAACAGACTTCATGTATTTAGTTTAAACAATTATATAATTTCTTTCCACCCTGATTGTCAGTAACTATAGCTTTACTTAAAGTGAGTAAAAAAAAAAAACGCAACACTTTGGTCAGAACCAAGTAAAGCTCCTTGATGAGTTTGTGATTAAATCACAGGTAGCGCCCACTGCGCCAGTGAATATATGGCTCGCTACTCGAAGTCGAACCTCCTAGCTTTCCAGACAGGAATGGCGCAGAGACTCTCTACGGCAATTCATGTTTGGAGGGGGTCTCTCCAGCTTCTGTATCAACGGGACTGGGGGGCGGGGGGGGAGGGCAAGAAGGGGTCGGTGATTGAGTGTGTTAGCCCAGGACAGCACAGATCACGCAGATCTCGTGCTGCAGAAGACAGAAGCCCAAGATCTGCCGGTTCCAATCTGGACTCGTACCTCTTTCGATATAAATGAGCGTCGTACCGGCGTGTAGTCGGGTACCAGCAGTGCGTGATACAGGTTAAAGAGCGCAGGCTAGCAATTGTACTGCACCGGCTAAATGTCTCATCTGCGCAGGAGATACCAATTACGCCTTAGGACTGACTAGCTTTCCGGTGTCTTAAGCATACACACAACATTACCTATTACTATAGATTCCTTCCCGACGCCGAATTTCGGCGAACTTATCAAAAAGCGTGCCACAGACAACTCGTAAAAAAAACAAGACATTGTTTTTATCGAAGGTCTTTAACTTTACATATCGTACTTGATGCAGGCGCTCTGTTGACGCCCAGCAGGGATGACGTCATAGCAAGGTCGACCAATGAGCAAAGGCCGCTGCCGGCAGCAACAAGATGGGGAGCTTACACACACGATGATTAAAAAAAAAGAGCTTACGTTCAAGGACATAGAAGATTAAATGTGCTAAAGAGTGGCCGAAAATAGCGTTTGAGAAAAAGTTGAAGGAAAGTTGGGAGAGTGAGGGAAGGTCAGAAATGCGGGCAGAAACATTGAATGAACAAAAACGTCACGTGCATGTACTTGTAGGAATTGATTAGGAGGAAGAGTAGTCAAAATTTTAATTCGCAAAAAGGTCGAAAAGAAATTAGTGAAGATGGGAAATAAAGGAAGCCCGCCCAGAAACGCCTATTAAAGAAAAACGTCACGTGAACAGCCCTTAAAGTTCGGAAGGAAGGAAAAGTGGTAAAACAAATGGCTTGGGAAAAAGTCGAAGAAAAGTTGGCGAAGGTAAGGGCTGTCAGGCTTTGCAATCAGAAACGCTGATTAAACGAAAATTTCAAGTGCAAGGACGTTAAAGTACGGATGAAGAATGGCTAAAAGTAACGCCTGAAGAAAAGACGGAGGAAAGTTGGGGTAGTTAGGGAGTGCTAGGAAGTCCGCCTAGAACAGCTAAAGGAGCAACCGTGTAACGTACATGAGCATGGAAGTTCGAATTGGGGGGGGGGGGGGGGGGGGATGCGGCCAACAATAGCGGATAGGAAAATATAGGGAAAGTTGCGTAATGTCAAGAAGTACACCCAAAAACAGTGCTATCACCCATATGAGACCTCAATGTCCATGGTCTATTCTAGATCTTCCCCACTGGTCTCTAATCATATCGAATTTGTAGTTATGAGAGCATAATACCTGGGACAGATCCCTGCAGTTCAAATCGACATAAAAGGGTTTTTTTGTGTACTATTTTTATAAACATTCAAAACGTCGCCGTTTGGTTTATATCATTCTAAGTTGCAAAATTTACACAACTAAAAAAATGTTAGAAATTCTCTCGATTCATAACAAGCGTTAAACTTTCATAAAAAAAAATCAGCACGACCACGTCTCAAACGTTTGCAGCACTGCCAAGGGAAACCTTCTACTGTGAATTGGTGCAGTGGGAGGGCGCCAGTTTTGAGGCAACGCTATTAAGACATATCCACAATTCATAAATGGCAGGTTGTATTATTCAAATATATCCTGCCATACACTCAAGCTCCGAAAAAAATATGTATATATAATCCCGGGGTTCGTTAAACATCATTGGAATCCGCGTCAACATCATTGAAATGTCGTGCACAAATGTTTTCTGGCCGTGGCTAGGCAGTCGTCTAAAAGTTCCGTTTTGCGTTGGACCATCATGTTGCCCCAGACTTCCAGAACGTTGTCAAGACTGGGAGATTGTGCACAGTTCCTCCCGGCGTCTTGAAGTTGGGATATGCTAGAGCTCCGAGGCCGCTGACTGTCGTCGCCGATCCAGGCCACAGAGGAGAACTCGCTTTAGCAGCCACCGGAATGACTTGTGATACTCCTTGCGAAATTTTCCTGCAACAGATAAAGGCAGAATGGACGAGACAACGTTAGAGTCGTCAGATTACCACCAAAGCTAGGTCGGCGTTTCGAAACACACCCAGGTAGCAGGCCAGAGAAATACCTAACCTGCCACAAGCTTGACAATCCTATCGATTGTCACTGTTGCTCAATATTGTTTTGTTCCAGGGCGTAAGTTAATGCCAGTGTACGTTTCTTTAACGTTCCTATGACTTCTTCTCTTGCCCCCCCCCCCCCCCCCCCCTTCCTAATTGCCCTAAATGTCAGACTTGAAGCGACGATCTAGCAGTGAAGCATAAATCTGGAACTTGTATGGCAATTTCGCCCGAAAGATGCCACATGTAAACCATAATACAATAAATAAAGCCTCACTCTGGCGATTGAAGGCCCGTTGACACACGTGCTACCGAGTACGACCGAGAGAGACAAGACCGGTTTTTAAACCTCTTAAAGACAGCGGAGGACTGCCTCAGCCGCAGCGCATCCAGTTCTCCGCCGCCGCAAGATGCTTAAAAACCGATTTTGTCTCTCTCATGCTTACTCGGTTACAAGTGTGTGAACGGCGTTTTAGGCCCGAAAATGCCAGATGACAGACAGCCAATCTATCAAAACTCAAGCCTAGGTTTTACACATCTCTAGAGAATTTGGGCAAGAATGCCCAGACTGGCAAAAGAAGGACACGTTTGGCTCTTCCTTAACGTAGCAACGCCTAATATTTAGAGACAAATCGAATTGGGGGCCAAATAACCGTGCTACGTGGAAACACACTCACCATCGCATTACCAAGTCTGAAACGCACCAATTTCACTCTCACTCTCACACGAGGTGCGCGAGCTCTCAAAAGCCACGACCCTTTACATCGCCAAGTCCAAACGCGCCAAGCACCATCACCATATCACTCCAACTAACAACTCCGAAATCTCGAAGCCACGCCGCATCCGACCATGAACTTCTCTGAGTTCCTCGAAGAAACTCACTGTTTTAACGTGAACTCATGATACTCCACCAAGTCTCTCAGAGTCATTCATCTCATGCGGCGGCCCAGAGTGAGTGTTGTTTTGATGGAGTTAATCTGTCAATATGTTAAGGAATAATATCAAACCTGATGAGTCCTCAGAACATTATTGCTTTGGTTGTGCTATTTTAATGCCAGGTATATTGATCCAAATAAATGTTTAATGTTAAACAACCATGTGGCGGTAATCAGTTTTGTTTTATATAGGCATGCTGGCTTCTGTCGAAAAATGTATTTGAGACACAAGACCGTTCTTTTCCTCTTAAACTAATAATTCATCCTCCCGGTAAGGTCCAATATAAATAATATAAAAGAAAAATTGTGACTTCTGGCAGAAGACGCCTTACTTAGTTTAACTTGCAGAAGGTAACAAACAGTAAGGTCGCAACAAAGAAACGTTCGTCTGGACTTAACTTGGCAGTCTCTGATTGTGAAAGCAAATGCTTCGTTTCACCAATTAAACATTTAACATCTAACACGCAGACGCTGTTTTTTTGCTAACCGATATTTCTTAGACGGTTGCGTCTAAGAAAACAAGCGAAAACGCTTGTTTTCTTAGACGCAACCGTCTAAGAAAACAAGCGTTTTCTTAGACGGTTGCGTCCGCGCACTCTAGCGAAAATTCATATTTTCTACATTCTATTTTGCAGTGTATTGTGGTCCAGAAAAATCTACACGCGTCTCGTCTTCAAATTTTAGAAACACATATTTCTACTTGAGTATTTTTGTTGTGTGTTTTCAAATTTTCAGAATTACCATAAATGCAACTTTGGCCACTAAATAGTGTTCCAGAAGAGAATTTCGTGTCAAAACAAAACAAATTCAAAATACCGCGTTTTTTTTTTTCTGAGTTAATTAATATATGTAACCAGGGTAGTTCGGCATTTAAAAAAAAAAGGTAACAGCCCGTTCAAACTATAAAATGAAATATTCCAACAAATAATCAAGCTCTTTTTTTTTTTTTTTTTCAATGAACAAAATCAATTTTTTGTTTCCGCTGGAGCACTAGAATAATTGTCATCTCTGCGGAAGACGTTATCGGTGCACTGTGCGCGATTAAATTAATTTTGTTCTGGCGCACGGCAAACATTAATCAACAAAGTACTTTCTTTTCAAATAAAAAAAAAGTATATATAAAACACACTCGTCAAAGTACCCGACACTTTTTTCTCTGATTATTACTCTTACTCTCAAGGTAGAGCGTTTAAATAAACGTGTCAATTATTTTTGAATAAAACGAATGAATTCTCGAACAGTATGGATCGTTAGAACTCCCACGGAAGCGGCAGTGAGCTGGAAATAGCTCCTTTTAGGAAACAAATTGAATGTGTCCGCAAAGAAACCGCGACTGCTCAACGAAAGCGCTGTCCGAAACAAATTAAGTTCTAGACTGGTGCAAATAAAACAATGAAGCAAACATTCCCTGCGTTTCAACACGCATATTTGAAACTTAAAAAAACGACCGCCTTTTTTCGCGCGCTAAGTGTAGCTACTGTAAGCACATTTGTCCGAGCTTTTATGCCATTTTGTGACGCAACTCAAAACACTGAAGCAAAAGTAAAAAAAAAAATAAAAACCGTTTAACGATACTCGGTAGTGTCGTTTTAGGAGCTTACTATGAGACCCAAATCCTCTCACGCGACGCCACTGACCAAAAATGCTTGTTGGTCGCCGCGTAGTTTCGAGCAAAAAAATAAAAACTGTGAAACGATACTCGGTAGTATCGTTTCACGAGCTTACTTACTTTAAACGGGCTTTACTATGAGACCCAAATCCTCTCACGCGACGCCACTGACCAAAAAGCTTCTTGGCCGCCGCGTAGTTTCGAGTATAAAGGCGAGCGTTTCCTTTCAGTTGTCCTTCGCTAAACTTGACGTCGAAGGATTGGGGATTGCTTCGCTGGCGTTGTAAACAATGCGATCACCAGGATTTCGTCCTCGAGCTTTTGCGATCCCCGGGGTAACGATATTTAAATGCGGCTTGCACCGTAGACACGAACACCGCGCGAGAATTCGATTTCAGCTCGTGATGACCTCGACATGTATTAGTGTCCAATCACCGTGATGACGAGTATAGCCGAACCTTAACGATGTGTGTAATTCAGCGCGTACCATCTATTTTGCCATAGCCTCCTTTATACTTACAAAACCTAGCAGATCGCCACGAGAAGCGGCCGCCGAAATCGAAAAGGTAGAGCGGCAGACAACAGATGAGAGGAGATGGACGTGACGGGCGCCCCGCTGCGGCGAGACGCCGAAACACACTTCTCCCGAGCGATGGAAAATGTCCGCTCGTGCTCCTCGCGTTCCTCGGGCCACCGCTTCTTTTCTCGTCGGATTTGAAAACCATGTTTCGGGTCCCCGCCGCTGCAAAACCTGTGCACTGACTACATGCTCCCCGAGAAATGCTCTGCGCTACCAGATCCTCGCGATCCAAATCTGCGACCGGGCACTCTACGACTCCTTCTTCGCACTGCCAGGCTTTGTGAAAACGGAGGAGTCTATGGTTTTGTGAACTCCAGCGCATGGCTATGACAACCACTGTTGCTTCGTTTGAGCTTTCCTGCACCTGCTGCACCGGTGCGAAGTGCAGTGCGGTGTGTACATCCGGTCGTATCTCGATACACGTACGGGAAGTGCACCGCCCTATACACCTTTCTGCGCCGGTGGTGCAGGTGAATCAAACGAAGCTAGTGTGGGGCATATAATCAGCACCACATCACATGGTCGCTGTTTTTGGGCTGCAGGTTAAGGGGTGAATGCTGCACGTTTTTCTAGATTTTTTTTTTCTGGAACTGATATTGCGTGCGAAAAAGTACTAACTCGTGTTTCATGTGTTTTCAGTATTTACGAATAATTCGAACGGGTATTTACTAAAGGTATAACAATTGTTGCATCGCCACTTTTAATCAGAAATGGAAAAATTACTTTTAAAAAGTAATTAAATTACGTTACTAATTACTTTTCTAAAAATGTAGAAATGCAATAAAATTACATTACAAAGTACCGCAGACTAAAAGTAATGACATTACATTAAAATTCCTTTTAAAAAGTCATGAAATTACTTCGACATTACTTTTGATTACCTCGAGGGAGTAATTCGTGTTCATTTTATTTACCTTATTTGTAACAAAACTCAGACACTCCTGTTTACATCGCAAAAAACTTATGTGCCTCAAAGCTTTTTTAGATGTGACTCAAAGGCACTGAACTCACCAGTTTCGCTGTTCACTCAACGGTGGAAGTCCTTACTAAAAGGGTGGTATATTTCCGTACTTCTGATTGAGACGAAGTTAGTTCGTGTCAGTATGTTAAGTCGGGCCATGGGAGCTCGTTCTTAGACGGAGTCGTCACGTGAAACGTTTCCCTTCCGACTCGGACGCAGTATAATCCTATCGTCCCAAGCACATAGTTGACGTATTACCAGTCATTCCTTCCAGGGAGTATTTTTCCAAAACACCCAAAGAGCCCAAGTTTTTGCGCATTGTTACACAAAGGGACTGGATAATTTCTAAGAATTTGCGTCGCCAGTTGAGGAAAGAAATGACGCGAGCTTCCAAATTTTTTTACTTTCCCAAGAAATGGGGGGTGATATTAGCTTGTAGACTTATTACCGAATAAAGTTCCCAAGGGAAGGCAGCGAGGGGTACCGCGAGCGGCACCTGCTTTGCTCGAGGACGAGCAAAACGTTCTGGGGCCTTGAGAAGGCATTTAGATAAAACTATATATTCCGGTCGTTTGTTGTTCACAATGGTCGAAGCTTACGGTTTGACCTTGCTTGACGAAAGATCAAGAAAGCTGGGGATCTGCTTTTCTTGTCTTAGGTTTTAAAAATGTGTTGACCTCAATGGTGATATGCCCTTCGTCTTGTAGCCTAAGAGCCCTTTATCCCTAAGCTGACAGGGCGGCGGAAGCTACGTGCTCGTTGGAACATTAACACGTATATCTTTTGCCACGTAACCATGCTCTTGTTCATACCG